CCAGGCTAAAAGGTAACACCCACCTAAAGGCATATTCTCAGGAAGGCAATGCGCAATCCCTTAGGTGTGGTTAGGTTCTCTTCTTATTAACTTTCTTATGAACTCTTTTTCCTTTATCACAGGTCTCATGAAATGTTAAAATAATTATTTTAATCTTTCCCACTAGAATATGCTTTGTGCAAACCGGGACTATCTGCCTCGTTTACTCTGACTTCTTGCATAGTTTTTAACATTAACTAGGAGCTTAGAGTTCAATGAATACTGACTGAAAGAATGAACGATTTCCTTGTAAGAATCTCAAGGCCATGGGCAAAACTATTTACTTCTTATGTCTCCCTCTCCATTCCTAGAGAGTATAGTCTAGACGCTCTTGCTCAAGCAGGAACTTATTGACTGAATATATAAATAAATGAAAGGAAGTATCATAGCCATGGTCCATGAAGGGTATAACCACTTCTTACAGCAAACTTAGATAATATTGAAGATGCCAGGACACTTAATGGTACTGAAAGGGAAGGGAGCTAATAAATAGGGGTTTTAGGGCTGGAGCGTGTCTTATTTCCTTAAGTCTGATTTGAGACAGATTGATCATGTCACTTTTCCTCCCTAGATCACTTGAGTATTGAGGGATAGATATAGTCATGCCTAGATATCTTGTTGTAGAGATGGGTTTCTGCAGCCCTAGACAGCAGCGGACCACACGGGCCTGCAATTGCTTAGATAAGGCGTGGACAATTGACCCAAAATGTGACTAAGTGTATTGCCCCTCTTAATTTCAATTTGGGAAACTGAGAGACTCTAGAGCTAAAAGAACATATGAAACCAGGGCCAAGTAGGTACACAACCAGACAAAACCAAAGACAAGCACCCCCGGAGAGAGCAGAGGGGCCTGTACACAGCAGACAGAAAGAGATGAACGGAGCTGGTGTTCAGGGATAACAGATTGCCTGGTACCATGAGAGACGAAGGGGGCTGGTTCATTTCTCTATTTATCCATTCATCCATTCAAATATGCGCTGAACCTGCTAGGATCCCTACATTACCACAGGTGCTAGGGATTCAACAGTAAATGGGACAATAAAATTCCATGCTTTCACACGGCTTGAAGTCCTATAAAAAGGGCTGGTGGGAACTGATTATGATGAAGAGTCACAGATGTTCTGACAGAGAAAGTTCAGGATGCCATGGGAACATAAAACAGGGAATCCAACATGGCCTAACCTTCGGGCAGACTTTTCAGTTTCAATCCCTGCGTGGCCCAGTTGTACCTCATTTCCTGTCCTTCACCCTCTGAAGATTCCTTTTTATCCCTTCAAGAATAAACTCTCTCTTCAGTTGAATCAGCATACTAAAGGTCTGACACATTTTGTCTGCCCAGTATGTGTTTGTATGCTGTCATTTTAGGAACTGTGCCTTCTCTTCCTGGGGGGGAGGGGGGGCGGCAATTGATCACAACTACTTCTCCTGCCCCTTAGTCTCACTAATCAAAACATCCCGTGTTCCACCTACAGTGATGGACTTAGATGTTTGCACACAATCTACTCTGAGTGACTTGGACTTCGGACGCCTTTTGTCAGGACTGATGGCGAAATGGGAGGAACTATCTCTGCTCTCCTAGGATCTCAAGCACGAAGCTTCTTATAAGGTTGGAGCCACTGGGACATTCTTGCCACTATGTGAAGAGGGCTTGCCTAGGCATGAAAACACCACAGAGGACATCAGAGTCAAGGGGTGCTGAATATTAGAAAAATTCCTGATGACAACTTACTAAGCACCTCTTAGGCTTTGAGTTCCGTGGGCCAATATATTTCTTTTTTCCCCTTAATTTAAATGAGTTGTTTTCACTCAAAACTGAAAACATCCTCTTTAATGCAGCGATTCTAGATAAATTTCTTTTCCCTCTGCAAAGAATCCCTGCTCAAGATGGTTTAGTGGAGACAGGGGTGGAGAGGACAAAACATGCCCTATCGTTCCCCTACTCTTCCTAGGTTGTGATAACTCATTTGTATAATGCTTCACCCCACAATTCCTCACACAGTGTCCTGCAGCCCTCCCAACATTTCTGAGACATGGGTATTAGTATTCTCATTTGCAAGTCGTGTTCTGAGGTTGATTAGCTACAAAGTGGCTGATTTGGGAGTTGGAACATTGTTCTGGCACCAGTGTGTGGTATATTCCCATTCTGCCACGTCTCTGATTCCTGCTGCCCCAGACGCCAGTCCCTCTATGCCAGTGCTACTATATTCAGCCTCCAGCTTCATCCCTAGTTCCTTAATATGCCAACTGGAAAATGCCCACTGGAACATTATGAATTCGTTTAATTCTTTTTTGAGAAATTAAAATCATAACATAAATTTTACTACCCAGCTAAAGTCTAATTCTCATATGCAGATTTTTGATAAATTAATAGTATCATCTAATGTTTCAAGAACCTTGAATCATGCCAACTTATTTTTTATTGCTGTGAATAAATGAATATTTTTTGAAAGTTGGCAAAAATATCTAGAAATAGTTACAGCAATAATCAGAATAGATAGCCATCACATGATAGATTAGTTTTATCCAGATGAACTTCTCTTAAATGTACAGCAGCCCACAACTAAAAATGAAACACAAAAACTTTTTAAATGAAAAATTCCCCTTACTGTCATGAGATTAGTTCTTAAACCTGTAAGATTTGGGGAAAGAAATAATTTTTTGCTCCATTGCCCTAAAACATTCCAAAGGAATACTAGATTTGAATGAGAACATTTGAAAATACCATTTTAAAAAATTTCACTGATGATTAAACTGATGTTAAATTATTACACTTATTTTCTTGACAATTTAATAAAACTAACCTCTCTCTTTCAAACTCCGTTATATTTTTAGCCCTTTAAAATTCCTTTTGGATATTATCAAGTTATTTTTTGTCAGTCTTTGAAGAATAACACGAACAATTATGCATCAGCAACCTGCCACTAAGTCACCTGCTAAAATAAACTAGAGGCCAATACCACTCAATACAAAACACTTTTGATAAGCTAATAATTAAAGCTTTATTTTAAATATAAATAGTGCCATTCATACGCATAAACACATACTAAGATTATTTACTAAATCTCCATATTGGTGTTTATGAATCATAATTTTTTCATTAAAATATTACGCTATTTAGCATACGAATTTTTAAAAAATAAAAATTATTTCCCAAGCCCATTCTAAAACCCTCTCTTGATTATTATAAGGTTAACATATTTAAGAATTTATCTGAACTTATTTCCATCTTTCCTACACAAAGATCAAGCATGAAATGGTGTGTCCACAGAGTAGACTGAATTCTGTGTGCAGACTAAATAACTGTCTACACAACTTGATTTTAAAGACTGCCCAACTCTCAACATTGAAATCACGTTATACTATCTGAAAGTAGGGACCTTTGTACCTCCTTGCACTGCTATTGTCAACTGCTAACACCTGGCCACGGCAGATTAACAAATTAGATTTCCTATTAGCTTCAAACGCTAAAGGAACAGAACAGAGAATCAATGAGTTTCATAGAGTAGAAGACAGGCAGGAAGAAAGGTCAGAATGACTGTGTGGAGCTCTGAGCGGCCAGGAAGTGTCAGAAAACCACTGGGGCACTAAACTTCTGGTAATAGGAAAGGCACTAAATAAAAGGTAGAGAATATCAAAGGACATACCAAAGAGAAATCCACAAGTTTCACTGAATCCACATTTTAAATAGCATTATTTATATTTAGTAATATTTTCAAAATATCAGGATTGTGACATTGAAAATAGATTCTGAAACTAAGGGGAAAAATTATTCCCTTAATTAAGTTCATGAAGGTAGCTGGCTGGCTTTGGCAATGAAATTTAACTTACTCTCTTTTTCATTCTCTCATATGTACACTCTGCTACACCTTACTGAATAAGCTGAAAATTCAATAAGTAAATGCGTTCATTAATGATTTAGTACAACCCGAAAGGAAAGGAAAGCTGCCAGAGCCACTCCACAGGTCTCTCACTTTGCCAAAAGCGATTACCGTGTGTCAGGGCTGATGGCGTGAACCCAGCTGTGGGAGGCCAGGGATGCAGGGAGGCTGCTGCCCCTGCAGCTGTTGCTGCCAGAGAGATGCTGAAGGCCTTAGAATCAGCACACCCACAGTGACTGAGAAATGGGGAATTTGAATATGTTCATGTGAAAGGTTCTTCCTTCTTCCCCTTCATTATGCACCAAGGGATGTTCTAGTAAAACTCAAGACATCAGCTTAGAATATGTTAATGCTTATAAATTAAATTGCTCACAGAAGGTGATCAATTTTTAATGTTTACACTCAAGATGTTCTTTTTAATTAACACTTAGCTACATTTGTATTCTCTGTTCACTGTAGAACATGTCTGAACTTGCAGAGAACTGCAATAAGTTGCAAGATATCAAATTGCCATAATTTTCAAAGTTGCACTCTTCAACTAAAGAAAAAGGATTTAGCTTCAGAGGGTTGACACCATAAAGGGACCTAAGTTATTCTTCGGAAGTAGTGGGAAGTTACTCTGCATGCATAGATATTTTTAGAAAGTTACTTATATTCCTGATGTGGAGGTGGAAATTACCCATCCACAATGCCTATGATGTACTGTGAGACATATATGAGAAAATTAAAAGTGATTTCCAAATTTAGCAAAAGCTTATTGAGAATTTATTGATTTTTAATAAATGTTCATTGGCCACTTGTGAGCTATATAGAACTATTTAAAAACAGATTGTTTACTAGCTGTGCGACCTTGAGAAACTGACCCAGCTCCTCAAAGTGGGAGTAATATCTTTATGATGGTTTTCATGAGGATTAAATAATATATGTGAAGTGCATATCAGTGTTTCACATATACTATTAGTTATTAAATAAATATTAGTTTCTTTCCTGTGTATATTACCATATTTACTTGCATTGTGCTTCTTGGTACTGTCTCTCTAAAACGGGAATAATAGTTTGTCAGGAAATATCTACGAACCTTACCGTGGAAAATATTGCTTCTGTCAGTGTCTCAGGTCCTGCGCCAAGACAGGAACAATTCAGGGAAGCAGGCCAAGGGCTTTGACGTACTCTGTAAAGGAAAAGTTATTATGTGTCAGTTATTTATTTATTTATTGGTGACAGGACCCCACTCTGCCCCTTTGAGGGGGGAGTGCAGTGGCGAGATCATAGTTCACTGCAACCTCAAACTCCTGGGCCCAAGCAATCTTCCCTCATCATCCTCCCAGGTAGCTAGGACTAGAGATGTTCTCCACCATGCCCAGCTAATTTTTTTTCCTTTTCATGCAGAGACAGGCTCTCAGTATGTTGCCCGAGCTGGTCTCCAACTCTTGGCCTGAAGCTATCCTCCGACCTTGGCCTCTAGAGTAGCTGAGATTATAGGCATGAGCCACCAACACTCAGCCATGTGTCATTTAGAGAAAAACTAGTCTCTACAGAAAACAGATATTTGCTGGACACAGTGGCTCATGCCTGTAACCCTATACTTTGGGAGGCCAGGCGGGAGGATCGCTTGAGCGCAGGAGTTCAAGACTGGCTTGGGCAATATGGTGAGACCTCATGTCTACAGGAAATAAAATTATTTGGGCATGGTGGTCAGGCGTGGTCAACCGCACCTGTGGTTCCAGCCACTCAGGAGGCTGAAGTGGGAATATTGCTTGAGTCCAGGAGATAGAGGTTACAGTGAGCTGAGACTGCGTCACTGCACTCCAGCCTAGTGACACCCAGCCTGAGTGACAGAGCAAGACCCTTCCCCTACTCCCCAAAAAAAAGGAAAGAAAAGAAAATAGATATTCATGAACTACGATGGGTACAATGGCTTTCACGGTGCCACTACCAATTCTATAGAAAATAAGATTAGAAGAATACAAATAATTGTTTAAAATATAATGGCGGCTCACACCTGTAATCCCAGTGCTTTGGGAAGCTGAGGTGGGATGATCAGCTGAGGTCAGGAGTTCGAGACCAGCCTGGTCAACATGTCAAAATCCCATCTCTACTAAAAACACAAAAATTTGCTAGGTATGGTGGCGGGTGCCTGTAATACCAGCTACTCGGGAGGCTGAGGGAGGAGAATTGCTTGAACCCAGGAAGCGGAGGTTGCAGTGAGCCGTGACCATGACATTGCACTCCAGCCTTCCAGCCTGGGCGGAAAGAAAAAAGAAAGAATAAAATAGACTGGAATCTTTTCATCCTTATATTCTCTCTAAATTGCATTTTTGTTTTCGTGTGTGTGTGTGTGTGTGTGTGTGTGTGTGTGTGTGTGTGTGTGGTTTTGGTGGTGGTGGTGGTGGTGGTGGTGTGTTTTTTTCGTGAGACAGAGTCTCGCTCTGTTGCCCAGGCTGGAGTGCAATGGCGCGATTTCTGCCCACTGCAGCCTCTGCCTCCTGGCTTCAAGCGATTATCTTGCCTCAGTCTCCCAAGTAGCTGGGATTACAGGCAGGTGCCACCATGCCCAGCTAATTTTTGTATTTTTAGTAAAGACAGGGTTTCATCATGTTGGCCAGGATGGTCTCGATCTTCTGACCTTGTGACCCACCCACCTCGGCCTCCCAAAGTGCTAGGATTATAGGTGTGAGCCACAGCTCCCAGCCTCTTTTATGTTTTTAAGGACCTGTAAGATCTCTAACATGTAAGAATCTCTAACATGAAGAATTTCAAGTTTTCTTAGTTTGATGATGGAGGAAATTTCAGGCTTAGATGAAGATAGTAACAAAGGAGAAAAATTGGCACTAGGATAGGTGGGTGGAGCCAAAACAGATTTTACAGACTGATGAAAGTGTGATTTTGGCAAAATGGATGGAAATTTTCAGCTCTGCATATGCTCAAAATAGCTGTTGGGCTGGTAACATTTTAAATCATAAATGTATAATTTTTACCAGTGGTGCACTAACTGCTTAGGAAGATCTCAAGACATGACTCTGGAATTAAGCATCCTAAAGTGTGATGCTAGAGCTATAAATAATCTCCCTCGATGTGTAATTCCAATAATCCACGCAAATGTTGCTTTCAGATATCTATGGAAATTTTTGTTATGTGACTGATTAAAATTATTGTTTAAACCCATGGCAAGTCAATGGCACACTAAACAAGACAATGAGAGTGTGCATGATTGTCATGTTCAAACTAAAGCTGTGAGCTTCTTGGTCCACTATTTCTGGGGTATCTATTATAATTTGCCACATGTTGAACTAGAAAAAGTGATTTGTCTTTAGCTAACTCAACTTTAATCTTCTTGTATCTTACCCAATTTCTCAAATATTTTATAAGTATTGCAATGTGAATAAATTTTCTAACAGTAAAACAGGATATAGTTTTATGGAGTTTTATTTTCTAAAGTAGATAATTCAAGAATGTAAGGAAGTAAAGCCCCCCCAAAAAAAAAAGACTCAAGTGATATTTTTGTTAGCCTGACCATTAGTTTTTGTTTTCTTTTTTATAATCTGAAGATTTGTGGAGGAAATGATTTTACTTCACAAATAAGAAGCTTGGACTCATTATCAGCAAGAATTCTATTTTCTGGGCTTATACAATCTGGATTAACAGTCAACACTGCTTGAAACTTCATTTTTTAATTTTGTTAAACTATTTCAGATTTACTTTTTATACGATATTTGAGTCACTATGAGTCAAACTGGGTAGTGATATCATCTAACTTCTAGAAGAGTAAATGGTTCAAAAAATAGTAGCCCTGATCAATGCTTCAAAATTCTGTTGCACATTAGATTTAGCAGAGTCGCTTTCAAAGACAAACAATACCCAGGTCCCAGATGGGTCACGTCTTAGTAACTTTAAAAAGTCTATCTACTCAGTTAATTTTAATGTGCAGATAGAATTAAAAACTGCTTCAGATAAAGCCTTTTTTGTTTTTTTGACATAAATGTTAGATCCTTAACTATTTTAATCCATCAGGTTAAACTTTTTCTGTAATAGGTCTGTATAGTAAATACCTCAGGTATTAGAGGTTATAGGGTGCCTGTCGCAGCTACTCAACTCTGCTGGTCCCTCACATCTACTCAATCCTATCATTGTATCACAAAAGCAGCCATAGACAATATGAACCAAATAGGTCTAGCTGTGCTTCAATAAAACTTTATTTACAAAGACAAGTGACAGGCTGGATTTGGCCCACTGGTCATAGTTTGCCAACCCTGGCAGTACATCATCTCTCAATTTAATATCTTGCAACATTTTGCAATTTTATCATTATAGCTTTATTTTATAGTTTAAAAATATTATTTGTTTCTAAAATATTGCCATGGATTAAACCACTAACTAGCTATTATATGTGATTATTAAAGACTTAGTGTAGCCAGGCATATTGGCTTACGCCTTAAATCCTAGTACTTTGGGAGGCTGAGGCGGGTGAATAACATCAGGTCAGGAGTTCAAGACCAGCCTGGTAAACATGGTGAAACCCTGTCTCTACCAAAAATACAAAAATTGGCTGGCCATGGTGGCATGTGCCTGTAATCTCAGCTACTTGGAAGGCTGAGGCAGAAGAATGACTTGAGCCCAGGAGACAGAGGTTGCAGTGAGCTGAGATCGCACCACTGCACTCCAGCCTGGGCAACAGAGCATGACTCTGTCTCAAAAAAATAAATAAATAAAATAAAATAAAATAAAAATATAGTTAGTGTAAATAAAAATGACCCCTGCACTTTTGATGAGATTACCATCCTAAAGATATTGGTTATTAGAGAATTTAATTTAACTTTATTTAGCCTAGCTAATATAACTTTATAAATTATACCTACTAGGGTATGAAGTGATTAAATAAAAATTTCCTAGTGCTACTGCTACTAGTAGACAAGAGCTGTTTAATTGTATTTCATATAATGTACTGTAGCCAACAATAGGAAATATGGGATATACATACAGGCCACTTTCCTCTCCAGGAAAGACACTGTCAATCAATTATACCTGATTCTGGATGTGATCTGCCAATATTTCTTAATATTACTCCAGGCAGTCACCACAAATCAAAATTTGCAGACAACATGAAATCTATGTGACATTCTTAGCACAATAGGAGCTGTGTTTCCATCTCAAACAACGTGCAGGAAATTATTCTTCGCTCCAAGAGTATAAATGCCCTTCCCACCACCACACAGGAGAGTGTGTTGATCTTGCAGAGGAAACATAGAATCACATGTTCACATTTGTTAGAGATGCAGAAAACTGCAGCAAGTCACTTCTTAACCAAAGTAGGTAATCAGCATTCTGTGTAGCATACTTGGAAGAAAGAAAAGATTCTCATGGAAATCAATGGATTTTTAAAAAATCTGTAGCTAAAGGCTGTAATTTAAACTTAAGAGAAAATAAGTAGTAAAAACTTTTCTATAATTTACATAAAATAAACTCAGAAGCAGAGGTTTTGGGGCAGCCAGTATGGTACTAGAGAAACACGGGGCACAGAAGAGGTGATTCAGTTTGAACCAGAACTTTTTCCTTAGCCTGATTTTTCATGACTGGTAGTTGTTACTGGCTGTTACCTGAGCAATCTCAGTTCTCCTCTGCATGGTTTCTCATCCTCCGGTGTACTAGATCAGCTTCCTTACATGGGAGTGGTCTTGGGGAGGATTCCAAGAAAGGAAAGGCATTTGAGGCCTAGATTCCAGAACTTACACAACATTGGTTCAATTATGTAATCTATTCAAAGCAAGATTTAAGAGGTAGGAAAAGAGACTCCTCTTCTTGGTGGGAGGCACTATAAAATATTGGAGTTAGGTTTTTCAATTTGCCACTCACGATAGTCTTACTTAACACATTCTTCTGATTATTCATAAAATTCTGAATTAAACTCTTTTGATTATTATGTTTGGACATCAGGACCAAATGGGACCTCTCTGGCAACAACATCTTAAGATTCTGATGCTCAGAGCATCAAAAATGGTCTAATTAAATTCCATCAGAATGAAGCATATGTCTGTCTAAGAATGCTACATCTTACATATTCACCTTTTCATATTTAATTTCATAGAATCTTAATATTAAGAAGAAAGAACCTTAAATATCAGCCAATTCCATGGTAAGCAAAATTGCCAATTCACACACACACACACACACACA